TTAGGCATGGCCACGCTGGATAATTGTAAGCAGCATAAAGCAGAGCCCAGTGCTCCAGCTCGAAGAAGATTCTATGCAGTTCAATGGGTGCACTCTGTGTCAGACACTTACGTATGACTGATTTTCCACTAGTGGCAGCCACATTCAAAGCATTGACTGTGATAATGTGTCACATACGACACACTGGAGTTGGACTTTGACACTGCATATTTTATCTTTTTATTATATGTTTTTCATCAATCTTTTTATTATATGTATTTGATCAAACTTTAAAACTGTTTGGAGGATAAGTTTGCACATGGCAAGGATATATATGGTACAGTGTAAGCGCCATACTTGTTGTACATACTCTGGGTTCCTGTATCAAATCCTACATGCGAAATGGCCCTATTAAATTTGGGCTCAATATGTTAAAGTAAAACTAAAGTACCTTTATAAATGAAAACACTCTGAAACTAGCAAGCTGAGAATTGTGCCTGAATTCATATTTTTTAAAATCTGTGTTGCATTGTCCATATTTCATATTACCCATATGCCAAGTTGCCTAGTCTGTTCTTCGGCTATAGTGGGAGGTCATGAAATGGAGCTGCCATGTTAGGGAAGTGATGTAATAATTTCTTATAGGAATTTCTATATAGGATATTTTTTGTTTTTTATTTCTTTGGCAGCAACTGAGAGTGTGATAGGGCTCTTCTATCCCCACTCAATCCCCCTTGACTCCTTTTCAATCATCTGCTACTTGTTAAAGTGATAGTAAAGGCTCAAGGTTATTTACCTTCATGCATTCTATGAATGAAAGCAAAGAAACCTTCTGTGTGCAGCAGTGCCCCCAGACCACCCTAAAACTAACCTGAGCCTGATCGAAATCCAGCGCTGTGCACGAGAGCTCCGGCACTCCACATCCCCATTGGCTGAAACAGTGATGGTTGCCATTGGAACCTATGAGGAGAGAGTGGGGAAGGGCCGAGTCATGCTCCATGTGTGAATGGACACACAGAGAAGCGGCTCAGGAGTGAGCCTGCTTGGGTGCCCCCATAGCAAGCTGCCTGGCAAGAGGGAGGGGCCAGGAGCATCGGCAAGGGACCAGAGAAGAGGGGGATCGATGCTGCTCTGTGCAAAAATCATTGCACAGAGCAGGTAAGTATGACATGCTTGTTGTGTAAAAAAAACCAAACCTTTAATATCCCTTTAAGCTGGCAATACACCAGTAGAATTTTGTTCAAAAGCTTTCGTTTTTTGGAAGGTTTATTTTATTGGCAATACAAAATACAAGAGGTATATCTGGAAACAGTGATTCATGCAGGGTCACAACAGGTGACCAAAAGCACAAGGTTCTCCAATGTTTTTCCAGAATACACGCAGCAGTAGCCATTACTGAATTCATTGCCACATATATATTTTTGAGGAAACAAGAATGACTGAAACCCAACTTTCTGAACTATACACTTTAGAAAGTATTATACCAAGGGATTAATCCCATGGTATATGGAATTAGGAGTAAAACAAGAATTCAGAAGGAAAGTAGAAAGTACACAAAAAGAAACATAACCAAAGATAAAGAAATACAAGGACATCAGACTTAGAAGAACTCAGAGAAGAAAGAAAAGAAAACATTAAAGTCAGAGAAGAAGAAAGAAAGGAAAACATTAAAGAAAAGAAGTGACCAAGTAAGAGAGGAAAGGGGGGCAATGGTAGGATTGGAAGGGAACTAGTTCCCAGCCTCTTGAGCAACTTTGTTCAGTTTTCAGTTTTAGTGAGGACAAATTTTGAATGAACAGGATAGAACATTTTTCTCAAATGAAAAATATTCTAACTCTAAATGTAATTTTCGTTTTCAGTTGGGAAAAACTGTACATAATATAATGAAATGTTTTAATATGTGTGGGATCACATTCATATAGCAGGTCTGGATGGAACTTCAAGGACTTTTGAAGGAAACTAGTTGACTCAATGATGGCAAGAAAGAATGTTCTGATGAACATTTTTTTTACACAACATTCAAAAATCTTACCTGTATGGCCAGCTATACTTTTTTATAAAAAGATGTCAACAAAGGAGAGAAAGGAACACCAGACAGGACTGAGAGGTGACACAATAATCTGTGCAGCAAAGGTCTCTATCCCTTATGCAAATATAACAACATAATGACATACTAAGAGCAATGTGTAGAAAGCCTTTGACCTCCGGGCTGTGAATCTTACAGAACTAAAGCAAATAGATCATAGAGAATCCAGGTCTTGCACTGTACCTGCACAGCAGCCGGAAGACCTTCTGAAAAAGCTTCAAGACACGCAGATTTTGGATGTACATGCATGCACTATTTTAAACTCGCAAATTGAGAGTGCTTACATTAAGAAAAAAAATTAGTTCTGCTTTAAGATGTTAACATTTTTGCAAACAAAGCATAGTGGGAGGCTAGCTGGTTGGAAAATGAACTACACACTTCTACATTTAATAAAGTTTAGAAACTCACAGGCGGCTGTTGGAAAGTTTGTTGATTAATCGCCCTCACTGATTTTCTGTGATAGTAATTCATCAAGCTCTATTCTGTGTTAGCTCAGCCATTTTTTCTGTAATGTCCACTGACTTGGCTGGCAACAGCCTATTATCCGTAAATAGAGATTTGTGGTTCACACACAGTCTCCTTCACAGCTCTGTTTTATATAAAATCACTAAACACATAGTAGAGCTCTATCTATAAAGAACAAATACAGAGAGATATATTGTAGAGGAACCAACTGCTATATTAAAGTTCTCAATAAAATAAACCATGTGTAAAGATTTAGGTTTACATTGTCTCTGAATATTAGAGGCCTGGGGCAATGCTGTGCTGTAGAATTCCTTGACAGACGAAATTTGAGCTCTACAGGTTCTAATAAACCCTTATATCTATTCTGTTTCCTATCATGTCTCTCTTTTATCTAATGGTGTTGTAAAAGGCAAAATACCGAATTCTCCCCATCCCTACTACCATGGCCACGTTGTGATCTTTTGTGCACTTCTAACCACAGAACCTTGCTTTTTCTGCTGCTCAACGGCCTGAAATGTGTTCCAAGAGCTACATTAGCCATTATTATTATTATTATTATACAGTATTTATAAAGCGCCAATAGTTCGCTCAGCGCTGTACATTACAAAGGGGGACAGAACATATGACAGAACAATACCAATACAATACAAAACATGAGGGGATCAAGGGCCCTGCTCTTTCGAGCTTACAATCTAGGAATTGAACAGAGTGTTACCGGGATCTGCAATTGGGATTTCTATACCCATACACACTAGGGCTGATTTGGACAATAGCCCAATAGACTGCATGTCTTGGGAGTTTGGGACCCATGCACAGACAGGAAGAAGATACAAACTCCAAACAGATAGTATCCTGGCCGAGATTAAAACCAAGAACTCTACTACTGCAATACATAAGTGTTCACCGCTAGACCACAGTGCTGTCCCACAGAAATCGAATGCATTACATAACACCAGAATTGCATAGGAACCCAAAAGAATGTTAATGGTATAAGGCCTTCTGGGTACAGGTTTAACATTGGAACAGTTTAAGACAAAATCATCAGGCAATACGCAATCTCATACTAGAGCAATACACTAACACTTTCTCTGCTAACAAACTACTGGGTAGCCTTGTTCTCCTTGTTTTTATGCAGATTGCACTGTCTATCAATAGCTGCACCCCTCTTCCCTAAGAGCTCCACTTAAGCCGACCATACATGGATTGAAATTCATCCAGTTCAGCAGAGACTGACCGAATTGCGATCCATGGGCAGGCTGGTTGTACACAAGTTGGTCTATCAAATGACTTGTGTACAACCGGCCTGTGGGAAAATTTCCTCTTGATCAGTGCCACCGGTTATAGCCAGCGGTGTTGATAAGAGCATTCTGACAGCAGGGAAATCTCCAAGCTGTCAGAATGCAAAGGCTCAGCGGGAGGGATTCCCCCATCCACACTGAGTGTGTGGAAGGGGGAATCAAGTGATTTTCTTTGGTTCAACCAGCGGGCTGAACAAAAGAAAATGACTTGTGTGTGGCCAGCCTTACAGGGTGACTCCTAATGAGACAGTAACCAGACAATGAGCCTAATGTGCCTAGATGTAAGCACTGATTTTAGAAAGACATCCAAAAAAACACCTAAACAACTTTTTAAAGTAGCTGTAACCCTAGAAAAAAACAAAAACAAAAAAAGATCCTTTTCCTTTAAAGCATGATAAATAGCATAGTGCTTCTGCAGTGTAAATTGTCGCCTTCTATGCTGTAAAATACCTGCTTGATCCTGCCTGTTCCTGTGTTCACGTGTGTGTGCTGACCACGGTAATAATGGCTGCTGATCCATAATACTGTGGTCAGTTTACATGCCTTCCTGCTGTGAGAACTTAGTCACTCCCCCCCAAACCCCCCCCTACCTGTCCTTTCCTGGTCAGTGTGAGAACTGATCTCCAAACCCACCCATCCCCTCCCCTCCTGCCACTATTCCGCTGCAATATCTAACACCCTTACTGATATCCCCTTTGGTTTGTAAAGCGTGTGTTTTTTAAAAATGATAATGCTAAATATTTTGTCTCACAATGACGCTGTGCAGTCATGTGATCCCTCTCTGTTGGCTGGCTGATTTCAGATCTCAGCCCCTATCACTGCTCTCCTTAGATCGGGGAAGCAGAGTGGAGGGGGATCACGTAACTGCACAATGGCAGTGTTAGAGAAGATATTTAGCAATATCAATTTAAAAAACCACACATACTGTAGTTTATGTCTTTATAAACCAGAGGAGATACCAGTAAGGTCGTACAACCACTTTAACTATACCACAAATCAGCAAAGTCTAAAAGCAAGCAACAAGCTACATGTGTCTGCTAGTTAAATGAATCTCTCTTCTGTCATTCTGTAATTAACACAGGATTACTGCAGGTCCGATTTTTTTGACAGATATGCTTTATTACCAGCTAGACGGTTATCAGAATTGACATGATGGTAGAAAGGTGAACAACCTAATTCCTGTTCATCACACACTTACCTAACCCCCCAATGTTGTAGTCAAAGTCCTTGACATCCAGCAGGATCGGACCACTCTCTTGTTGTCCTTCCTCCTTATAGTAAAGTTTGTAGCCCTGGATCGTAGCAGTGTCCTCAGGATCCTGTTGCCATCTCACTGCTATTGTTGTACAGTTTAGGGGATCCAGTCGCAGCTCTGGGGACCTTGGTGCTACAAAATACCAGAAATAATTTACAGTTTGGGATTGGATTGGTATTATTTGTGATCAATATACCTTACAATTGGTATGGTTCACTCTTCTTTTTGTAATCTAATTTCTATGAAAATCTCCCTATTTTAAAATGTTAAAGAATGCAGCCTACTCAAAAACAATTTCTATAGTTTGTAACAGCTCCACTATGAATTGCTAATTATACATTTAACTAACAATTATGTCTCTTTCCTAGCTATGAAGGCTGTGAGTTTCAAAATCAGACACCCAAAAAAAGCTTCTGTCTTCCTTGCTTTAAAGTGGATCTAAACCTATTAATATCCCATAAGAGTTATATTCAAGGCATGTTGTGAATGATAACCTTCAGAGTTGTTTATGTTCTCACCCAAATGGCTGGTGTCACATGTGCAGCACCTTGGCAACTGCAGATCAAACAGAACTGAAAATATCTTGTTGGCTAAGATGGAGGGGTTGCTTCCGCTTTAAGATAACTGTCCTGTTGGTTTATAAGAAATATGTTTTGCTCCTTAGGCTAGGTTACAATATGTGTGGGTTGGGAATGTGTGTATAATTGCACATGTTCTCAACCAGCAGGCAAAATGTGCTACTCTTTAGCAGACGCTCAGTGCGTTTTGGTGTTGCAGCACTACACAGATCTGTGCAATCACGTTTAGAAAAAATGGTCGGGGACTTTTTCCCCACGTTTCCCACAGGTACAGGTTCAAATGAATGGGCTGCCATTCCTGAGAAAAAACATACACAGACCCGCACAAAGTGAACCTAGCCTAATGAAAACCTTCATAGTTATGGCATGTTGAGCAGAAGAACTGGTTGAACATAGTGCTATCTTTTTTTTATTTGCTATGTATGTATGAACCATTGTATGGGCATGGGGCCGAATAAACAACAGGCATATTTTAACATGAAGAGTTGAAATTTTTTATGATCTGGAAACAGTTATCTTCTCTCCCAGTCTCCACATCGCTGCTTGTGGTGTAAATCTGTACCAGGCAAGCCTTGCTTCCCTCTAAGTATTCTGTGGGTATTCCAGGAGTTGGCCAACAATGACCAGCAAGGAAAGCCTTTCTATTAATGATAACGAGTACTGCCAACTCCAAAATTATAATCATGGAGATGCAGGCTTGTAATGAAAAAAAGCGAAAGGCTCTGTCTGACCAGGACAGTGCTGCTTACATAGAGTGCAGTACTTATGAATCAACCAATGTAGCCTAATATTGCGGAGCCAATATTTTTATCTGACCACTTTGTAAAGGACTATGGGAACAATAGAAGACTCTTCATTTCCTATCTGGCTCACTCAATAATTTTGTGACTTCACTTGGGTTTTAGGATCACATGTGATATAACTACATAGCTTCTTATGTTGTGAACAAACAGGTTTGTTTAGTCCTGCCACTGCTAGACGTCTCTACTGACCCAGAAGAAGAAATGCACAAAAAGAGGTTGAATGCCTGTCACGTTTGTCTCTGTCACAAAAGAGTGCCCTCTGTGACCCTTACATAGCTTTTAGGTTACCTGACTTAATCTTATTTACCTTTACAAGCCACTGCTGTGGATGACCTCTTTCACCAATAGCTGTGTAGTCCTACCTACCAGGTCTTGTTCTTCCAACTAAATTCCACAGCATGATTGTTCTCACAGGAAATAAAAAAAATATATTTTGTACCAGCACTGGAATTTCGTTTCATTAAATGGTGGGAAGGAATCTTTATACATAACAAGGACATAAAAATCTATTACCAACTCGCATTTGTTCATCCCCCAAATGTTACTGCAAACCTAAATTGCTACATCACAGCTATCCCAGGAGGCACTGTGTTAGTAAGTCACAAGTCTGTGGTGGATTTCTACACATGCGCACAAAAATTGCAAGGTCCCAAAGTGCTTATCCACCAGAAGCTAGCAGCATTTGGAGAGATCATTTAGTAGGTAAGTTCCGATTTAAAGTAATTTTGTGACTTTCAATTTTTTTTCAAACTTGCTCTTCTCAATTTGTGATATTATAATAAATATTAAAATTTGAAGCCAATAGAGGGAGCTCTGTATTTTCATGCAACCAATCAGCCACCCTGTGTAAGAACTAATGAGAAATGTTTCCACACTTGGCATACATTGTTCTCAGTCAACTGATATCAATAAACTGGTTTTGTTAGAATGACCAGCAAAGCACAACCACTATGTATCACTTTAAAAGTGGGAAGTAGAGCCTCCATATGTAATGAGCAAACATGGTTGTCTCAGTGCACATACACTGTCACATGCTACACTAGAAGCAACCTATTAAGGTGTCAGTGAGTCCAATCTATGCCAGAGAACATGTATTTCCCAACAAAAATATTAGTAATTCAAAGCACAAGGAGCCAGCAGCGACATTTGCCCAGTATAGTCTTGAGTTACTCAATTTATTTTTACAATTTTAAAGAGGCTTATTACGCTAATAATGGCAAAATGAAAACACAAAAATTACCAGCAGTAAGTCTTGCAAAAAAGGATGTCTTTTAGTAAAATTGGCAATTGTAAGATTTTATCAGGAGCTCATTTACCTCTTATGCTACTCGCTTTGGGTGTTTGATGGGATGTCCAGGCAGACGATTCTCCCCATCCAACCTTTGTTGATGCTGCTATGCGAACCAAGTAGACACTGTCTGGCTTCAGCCCCTCCAAGAAATACTCATGGGTAGTGCCAGGGAGCTCTAGAACTTGAACAGAACTTTCAGTGCTCATTCGAAATGCCAGTCTGTAAAGTATGATCTTTCCTCTACGGAATTTGGATGGGATGGGAAGCCATGAGATTAAAACATCTGTAGGACTGCGGCTTGTCAAACTAAGTTCTGGGGCTCTCAGTGGAACTGCAACAAATAAGTACAACATGTACCATCTTTAAAGTACTCCAGTAGGTAAATAAAAAACCAATGTAATTTAAGAAAAACACCCTTGCTAATAAAAAACACTAGAAATAAAGCTTTACTTAAGGAATATAAAACTGCAATTTATTCAGATGTGTTCATTTAAAAATTATAAACTGTGTTTTGAAATGCAACTAGTATTGGTACCTGATTTTGACTTAATATCATCCTATTGCAGTCACTGGTACAATAGAGACTACAGCAGAAGGATCCAATCAAGTTTGCTGCAGTAAAGAGGAACAAGCTGACAGGTAGAGAGATCAGAGTTACTGAGAAATGAGCTCATCAGTCTACTGCTATTGATTCATTGTCCAATTTCAAGCTGAGGAAGAGATCAATGAAAGTTCCAAAATGAAAACATTAACGGATTCCATCCTTAGATTCCAATTGAGAAGAAAAGTCATGCATCATCGCTCAACCCTCGGATACGTGGATATGAGTCCACAAGCCACATATGGTAACTATCAAATAAAGCATGGTAGGCAACTTGGTGGCTGAATTGCATAAAAAATTATTTATTTCAATATCAATAGGGATAACATTTCTAGTTACATGTACATATATACACATTTTCCCTGAAATTTAAATAAAGGACTTTTTATGCTGTTCACTGAGCTGCCAACCATGTTTTATTTGATGGGGGAGGGACCAGACCTAGTTGTATTACAGTAAAGTCAGTTCTTCACGCTGTGTGTGCGGTGTGGTAGAGCTGTGTAAAGTTCAGGAATGAATGGACAGAAAGACAAGTAAATCAGCTCATATATATAGATTTAGCCATTTTCCAGTAATCAATCTTTAAAGTGCTTGTAAAGATTGAAGGTGTTTTTACCTTCATGCACGCTATGCAAGAAGGTAAACCCCCCCCCCCCCCCCCATACTCACCTGAGCCCCATCGCGATCCAGTGATGTGCATGAGAGCCTCGGCTCTCCAAGGATTCTCCCTCCTCATTAGCCATTGGCTCCTGCTGCTGTCAATCACAGCCAGAGTGCCTCGCTCTATGTGTTAATAGATACACAGAACAGCAGCTTGGGAGCGAGCCTGCTTGGGTGCCCCCATAGCAAGCTGCTTGCTATGGGGACACTTGGCAGGAGGGAGGGGCCAGCAGCACCGATGTGGGACCTGAGAAGAGAACAATCGGGACTGCTCTGTGCAAAACTTTAAACTGAGCAGGTAAGTATGTGTCAGGAATGGACTCAGCACTGGTGGTGGGACTCACCTGCCGTGTGGGCTGCAGTACCAGGGCTGACCAGCGGGTGCTCTCAGCAGCCAGAAGCTCACTCCTGTAGTCAGCCAACACCTGGGCTGATTGCAGGAGGTGTATTTAAGGAATGACCAGGCCTGTGATCTAGGCCTTGGTGTATGTTTACCATGAGCCCCTGTACCTGGTTTCCTGTGTTCCTGCCTCGTTGCTGACCCTGCTTTGATCCTGACCTCTGCTCACCGTCTCCTGTGGAACCCCTGGCTTGCCTGACCATCCTTCTGCCTGATCCTCGGAACCGCGCTGCCCGCTACCTGCTGAACCTGGCTCGTGACCCCGACCATTCTCTGCTTGCTCCTCCTGTACCACGCTGCTCGCACGATACCGAGCCGGCCTATCTGACTACGCTTACTTCACCCGACGATCCATCCCGCACGGATCACCTCTAGTAAGTCTGCCTGCCTCTTCCCATCAGACTTCGTTCCTGCACTCCCCTGCCAGTACTTGCTACCATAGCCGGACGCACTCAGGGGTCGCGACCTGGTTCCAGTCTGCACCAAGTCCATCCCCACCATCAGGGGCCCTGGTGAATAGCAGGCTGGGACTTAGACCCCACGCCCTGAGGAAATCCGTGCTGTGGGCTGCTAGAGACACTGCCAGGTGGCACCTGACAGTACCTTACGGCCTGCCTGACCATTCCACCTCTCCAGCCTGACTACGCCTGTGTTCCTGAAGCCTGCTACTTCCCTGTGTCAGTCCACACATTTCTGGTCATACCCGGATCCCTGACAGTATGACATGTTATATTTTTTTTTGAATAGGCTTTATTATCACTTTAATAGCCATACACATATGAAATAATACAATCAAGACCTGTGTAAGGTTACTCTTCCTTTTCAGCATTACACTTGCATTAACCTAGCACAACATTAAAGCTAGACAAAATTTAAATCTGAAACAAAAAAAGGCTTTTTATGTACCAGTCAAGACACAAAATTCAATATATTTAGAGCTCTCTACATCTCTTTTCTTAGAAACTATAGAAGTGCTTTTGTTTAGGCACCACAACACATCAATTTATATATTTATGGAGTAGGTTTCTTAGCACTCACAGTACCTTCTGACATTGGTATTTGTAATTGTGAATATGTATTACAATTGTATTCCTATATACAGTAGGTGATAAAACAAATGTTATCTGGAAATTATTACAAGCATTCCAGCTCATGCCTTACCATCTTCAAGTGTGTTCTGTGTAACATGGTCTGACATCTGGCTTGCACCCATTGGCATATAGGCAACAATATAAAATGTGTAGTTGCTGGCAGGATCCAAGTCATCAATAATGAAGTGATTTGTGTCATTCCCAATGACCCCTTGATATTCTTCATTGTTTAAACCTAAATAACAGCAACAGAAAACATTTACATTCACACATTATACCAACATAGAACTCATCAACTCTGTGTTAGTCCTAACCTGCCTGAGTCCAATCTGAAAGCCTTCAATGATGTTTGCTTTCAACTATAGCTTTCTCGTGGATAGAGAAATGGTCTATCTCTGCAAACCATAAGATTAAGAGCATAAGCAAGACATATTAGTTAGAAATTTAGTTCTGATACAAAAGGGATGTCCCCAAAACCAATCCAACAGGGGCAATACAGCGAAGGCTTGAAGGCAAGACCTTCAAAATAACAAACTAAATTTGAGGCTGGCATCAGAAGAGGCAGGGACAGAAGGCAAGGCTGTAGCCTTTAAAGTCAAAGAGTCAAATGACTAATGCTAAATGAGAATCCAAAAGCAGAATTAAACTTCACTGTTTTTTATTTCTTTTATGGGCCCCTAGGAAGAGTTAGTCATAATGTGCTAGTATGCACAGGATATTAGCACATTAAGGTAGACATACCTGTCAAACAAACCCCTCCAGCGATGTGCTGTTAGTGCTCCCACTGGTCATGGGGTTCTTCCATCTTCCCTCGGTCTTCATTTCAGGTTCAGACTGTTCGGTCACTTGAATGGCCGGACCACAATTACATCACTCCTGCACATGTGCATGGTAGCCACATCATAACAGCAGAGTGGGTTGCCATAAATGTACACTGAACTGAGCATGCACGGCTCAGTGTTCATTACCACTGACAGGCAAGGAGAAGCATTTGTATGCCAGAATAGACCAATAGAGTCTCTTCTGTCATAAAACCCTGTCACTGTCTTTTTTTTTTACTTCAGTTCTACTTTATTAAAACAGAAAGACAGAGAAGACATTCATTCTCATAAGACACTAGTGAAAAAACTGGAGCATGATCAGGATGGATGGGGGGGGCAGATAGATATGGCTGACTAATGGTGGCCATGCAAGTATCACATTTTTTTTAATCCAAACAATGTGCAATTTGATCAAAATAATCGAAAAAGCAAACAACTAAATAGCCATAACTTTCCTTCTGATTGACATAAACTCAATTTAGATTGGGTCTGATCAAACCGAGTAGATCAGCCAGGGTGATGATACTTTGTTCATAAATTTGGCTGATCAGATTAAAAGATTATATGGTGAAAAGAGAGATGCCATGGATAATTTACAATCCTAAATTATGATCATATATTTACTACCAATTAAAATCCACATCCCCATTTGTGGCATATCGATAATAATGGGGTCGACAATTCCTAATAGCAGGGACTGGAAAAAAAAAAAATTCATTATTTAATGCTATGGGTATGTCCACCACAACAGCTTTGTTTGCTAGTGTCCAATTTTTGTAGGCGACAGTATAACCCTCAGAATGAACCCTGTGTCCCCTATTGAGCAATAAATGTATTGGAAGAATCAGAACACCACTCTCTTTGTTCAGTCCAGTATGAGTTCTCTTATTCAGTCTGATGTAAGGATAAAAATCCAACATGTTTCTGGGGCTCGTTAATGATTAAGAATTATATATATATTTTATGTGTTTCAAAAATATTTAGAATTTTTGTTAAGCTTGTAACTGACAAAAATGGATCAAGATGCTAAAAAAAGGATGTTTCTGTGTGCCAATGTATTGTGTTGTCCTATATTGAATCTGTATCTGAATAAAACCAAAGCTCATTAAAAGTAACAATCAACAAGTGTTCCACAACTACTCACAAGTTTTGGTAAACTTCTTCAATGAAAAAAAAAACAAACTGTTAATGGAGTTACCATTTAACCACTAAGAACTCCTACATCTTAAATCCATGTGATTAAAAACAAACCTCATTTTTTGAGCCACACCATTCAGCAACAAGCCGTTTTATCAGAAACAACAAACGCACAAAAAGCCGTATTGTAAAAGAGGCGATTATAGAGTTGAAATCTATTACAGCAGTTGGAGAAGATGAAGGCGGGGGCACAGAAAGAGAATTCGCTCTATAAATGTGTTGTGCCTTAATGAGCTTAGGAAAAATTTCAGCAATTCATATTGAAATATGCAGAGGGTTGCATTACTGCTGTTGCCTTTGTTGCTCCTTAATTCCTATACATAGGAACTGGTAAGCGGAATAAGGTTGTTGAAGGCTGTTGTGGTTCAAGACCATTTCACACCAAAATGCATGTCAACTTAATCAAAACTCCCCCACCACCCATTGCCATTAAATTTATAAACAAAACCCTGGACCAAATTCCACTATTGAGCTTTCCCACATATCTGAATCGACTAAAAAGCATTTTAATTAGACAAGATTACTGGCATCTCACAACAGAGCCGTTGATGGTTTGTTAATTAGGAATGTTGTGGCACGATTTTTGACCTGCTAAACAAGATCCTTAGGCTCAAATTAAAAGGCCTTGTTCTTCGAGTGAATGAGCCACTGGGCCTCATGCGGAGGCCTGATAAAATGGCCATAATAGGGGGTGAGACCAGCCTACAAACAGAATCACTACACCCTTTGTAGAGCTTCCAAATTGCTAACAAGGAATTAATACACTCGTGTACTCTCATCAGACCTTTTCGCTTGCCTAGCACATTAACCCGCTCATTTAAATGTAAGATCTGTCCCTTTTTAAAGAACACCTGTTGGCTTTCTTTGAACAGCATATATTTTTGGAGTGGAAATTAGCTTGTTATATATATATATAGTTATTAAAATATAGTAATATATAAAAATAACTGAAAATTAATTCAAATATAATTTTATATGTTTTTATTGAAGTACATGTAGGGTAAAACCTTTTTAAAACTTTAGTCCAATTTTGTTTGTAGCTTGTTTTTTAAATTCTATTGTAAGGGATGTTGGTACTGACATAAATATATTTTAAAAGTAGAATTTATTATGTTTTATTGTCATCTTTTCCTTTAAATAATAATGTTCTAACTGTTGAAAAGTTTTTCAAAGCTTAAAATAAAATAGTGGTTTGATCAAACAAAAAAAGGTAAAACACATTGCTTCATTTGATGTGGTAACAGAATTTGTAGATGCTCATTAGGCATTCTTGATTGAAAACTAGGGTAGCTCCGGGAAGGGAAATCCTATAAAAGGGACAAAGGCTCTTGCAGCTGTCAGAAATCTATAGGCTTTTTTTCTAAACACACATTGCAATTGACTTAATCTCACCTTCCGCCTTCATGTAATGCACAGAATAAGCAATCACTTTTTCTGAGTTGTACAGCGGCCTTTCCCACGACAATATAATGGCTGAACTGGACACTGTCTCAGCTCGAAGGTGACGAGGAGCACTTGGTCTGTCTTCAGACATCACCACTACAAGTCTTGCCCGGGAAAGGATGGAGCCATGACTATTCTCTGCCATGCACTGATATACTGCATCATCTTCAGGGATAATCTGATTGATTACCAATTTACTTAGGTGAAAAAAAAGAGAGACAGAATATTTGTAAATTGAAACATGAATGCACTGTTGTATTCTTCATGAAATGACTATACTGCAACTGACATGTACAGCAATCACAATCAAATCATTGACTTCCTACCTATTGTACATTTTGATTCTTCCATTAGAATGTATCTTTCTTCCATTCTTGAGCCATGAGATTTTTGGAATTGGAATTCCTTCAGTTTGACATACAAAACGAGCTGTTCCTGCACGTGGTCTTGTCAAACTCTCTGGCCGTTCAACAAAGGATGGAGGTGCTTCAGGGAATAAAACATTACAGGGTGAAGATGTAAAACATATACTTTATGAATAATTCATCAATTTATATTGTACAATGTACTGTATATTGCTGAAAATAGTAGCATAATTATATGACAACTGGTAGGAAACATCCAGAGAGTGCAGACCAAAGTGAGAGTAGGGGACTTGTAAAGTTTTTAGAAAAACATCATTAGGCGTACTAAACATCCAAAATCATCATAATCCTCTTGCATAGTTAACTCTATAGTTAGTGAAAACAACAGATGTAATGTACTTATCTGGAGGACATGTAATTACTTTCCTCCAAATTGTCCCCAATTTAAAGAGAATGTGCCCTGGCCTAAATCTTTTTCTGCACTAACAGCACAGTAAAATGCATATCTGGCCTGCAAGTTTCTGTGTTGGTCTTCAAATCATCCCCTGTGTTTCTTTGGGGTCAATTTTGGATGTAAAGAACAGGATAAACAATGTAGCCTCAACTGGTTGGAATGACCCCTTTAAACTTTTAAATGTCACAGTCTTTTCTGCCTACTGAAGTTCTGGCATTTAAAAATTGAATGGCAGAGAACGAGCTTAGCACCACAAGGACCCGGAGCTTAAGCTAAACCTGGACAGACTTTGAGACCCTATATATTAACCTGGTCCTAGGATCAAAAAGGCTCAACTGGGACACAGAGATTGATGACTGTTGCTAGCCAGTCCCACAAGATGTCTGCAAATTTTAGCACTGTTGCTACCTCAGAAATGTTTTAGGCAGGGTCTGGTTGGCTTAAAGCTCTATCATAAAAGATGTATATATAAACGAGGGGTCTTCAAAAAGTTTATATATAATTACACAGGGCTTGAAATTTCCATTTGCCTGCTCACCAATGGCGAGTGGAAATTATGGTGGGGGCAAGTGTTTCCCCCAGGACCATCTTGCTGAGCAGGCTCGGAGCTCAGGCTGGATCTGTCATTGGCACTGGGAGCCGTCAGACTGCTCAATAGCTGAGCGCAGTGAAAGCAAAGCAAGGAGTGTGCTGTGCTCTCTGCCTCCCCCTAGAGTGCTGTACCGGATCTGTGAATGAACAACAAAGTACTGCAACTTTTTATGGGTGTGTGTGTCTGTGTGTGTGCATGTGTGTATGTATGTACATGTGTCTGTGTGTACATGTGTCTGTGTACCTATGTACATGTGTCTGTGTGTATATACATGTGTCTGTGCTTGTGTATTTCTGTGTATGTACATGTATCTGTGTGTATACATGTGTCTGTATGTGTGTGTGTGTACATGTGTCTCTGTGCGTGTATGTACATGTTTCTGTGTGTGTATGTATGTACTGTATGTGTGTGTGTGTGTGTATGTATGTACACGTCTGTGTGTGTGTACAGGTGTCTCTGTTTGTGTGTTTGTTGGTGGCGAGTAACTCTAAGGCCTGGCTAGTAGCTCAGGACTTGAAATTTTAATATATATATATATATATATATATATATATATATTTTTTTTTTGTAAGTAGAGCAAGCTACAAGTGTATTTAAGGCATTTGTCCACTTTAACTACTGTGAGTTGCTTTTCTTGATCTAATTCTACATCCACTTCAAACATTTCCACATATGCTTTTACATTGATAGCTTTTAAATTGTGGTTTAACTTGGTCTATTAAGCTGCATAAACTTATTTCTCTTACCATTTATGGTTAAAGTGTTACTAAACTCAGGACTCTACATTAATTCTATCTAGTCTCCCACAGTACACACTACATGGAAATGCAATTATTTTAGCAAATATAAGCTGCTAAACGCCTTTTCTCATTAGCAGTTAGAGCAGTCTTGTGACTTCTATCCGTGTCCAGCAGAGCACTGGTTACAGTTTGTAGGAGAAGTTTTCTTTCTGCTCTAGGAGGATGCAAAACCCATTATCTCTGTCTGGACAGTGCTGATTGGCCCTGTGCTGATCACATGCACTCTCTCAAAAAAAAAAAAAAACTTCTCTAGTAACACACACTAAACTGAACATGTGCAGAGTGACTCCACACATGTCTTATCTGGATAAGAAGGAGACACTAAGAAGGAGACACTGGAAGAAGGGATATAACAGGCATGCTTTACTGCATATACAGACTAATTTTACTGTTGTGGGTTTAGTAACACTTTAGATCTGTTTTTAGCAATAGTAATATTAGTATGGACAGAAAATGAATAAATATTAAGACATATAATCTTCAAATTTTGATGTGTAATTTCTGGCCTTGCGGGTGGGAAATAAGGAAAAGTTAGAAGTAAATGGGGTTAGTCAGTTCTAGGATGACCCATGTGCATTTACAGTGGATATAAAAAGTCTACATACCCCTGTTAAAATGTCAGGTTTGTGTAAAGTAAAAAAAAATGAGACAAAGATAACTCATTTCAGATCTTTAACATGACCCATAAACTGTAGAACTCAATTGAAAAACAAACTGAAATCTTTTTTTTTTTGGGGGGGGGGGGGGGGGGGGGCGTTAAACATATGAAACTAAAATAATGTGGTTGCATAAGTGTGCACACCCTCTTATAACTGGGGATGTAGCTGTGTTCAAAATTAAGCAATCACTTTCAAAATCATGTTAAATAGAGTCAGTACACGCCTGCTATCATTTAGTGTCTCTGATTAACCCCAAATAAAGTTCAGCTGTTCTAGTAGGTTTTTCCTGACAATTTCTTAGTTTCATCCTACAGCAAAAGCCATGGTCTGCAGAAAGCTCCCAAAGCATCAGAGGGATCTCATTGACAAAAGGTATCAGCCAGGAGAAGGGTACAAAAGAATTTCCAAGGCATTAGATATACCATGGAACACAGTAAAGACAGTCGTCATCAAATGGAGAAAATATGGCGCAACAGTGACATTACCAATAACTGGACGTCCCTCCAAAATTGATGATCTGAGGCCTACAGCAACATTAAAGGATCTGCAGGAATATCTGGCAAGTACTGGCTGTGTGGTATATGTGACAACAATCTCCCGTATTCTTTATATGTCTGGGCTATGGGGTAGAGTGGCAAGACAGAGGCCTTTTCTTATGAAGAAAAACATCCAAACCCGGCTAAATTTTGCAAAAACACATCTGAAGTCTTCCAAAAGCATGAGGGAAAATGTGGTCTGGTCTGATGAAACCAAGGTTGAACTTTTTGGCCATAATTCCAAAAGATATGTTTGGTGCAAAAACACTTCACATCACCAAAGGAACACCATACCCACAGTGAAGCATGGTGGTGGCAGCAACATGCTTTGGGGCTGTTTTTCTTCAGCTGGAACTGGGGCCTTAGTCAAGGTAGAGGGAGTTATGAACAGTTCCAAATACCAGTCAATATTGGCACAAAACCTTCAGGCTTCTGCTAGAAAGCTGAACATGAAGAGGAACTTCATCTTTCAGCATGACAATGATCCAAAGCATACATCCAAATCAATAAAGGAATAGCTTCACCAGAAGATTAAAGTTTTGGAATGGCCCAGCCAGAGCCAAGACCTGAATCCGATCAAAAATCTCTGGAGTGATCTGAAGAGAGCTGTGCACAGGAGATGCCTCGCAATCTGACAGATTTGGAGTGTTTTTGCAAGGAAGAGTGGGCAAATATTGCCAAGTCAAGATGTGCCATGCTGATAGACTCATACCCAAAAAGACTGAGTGTTGTAATAAAATCAAAAGGTGCTTCAACAAAGTATTAGTTTAAGGGTGTGCACACTTATGCAACCATATTATTTTAATTTTTTTTATTTTTACTTCTCTCCACCTAAAACATTTCAGTTTGTTGTTCAACGGAGTTGTACAGTTTATAGATCACATTAAAGGTGGAAAAAGTTCTGAAATTATTTATTTTTGGCTCATTTTTTTACATCACAAAAACCTGACATTTTAACAGGGGTTTGTAGACTTTCTATATCCACTGTAGCTGTTTGTGCTTATAACGATACCACATTCCAGATATTATAAGATCATATATAAAGGACTCCATGGAAAAAACAAGGTAGCAAACCAATAATCAATCTTACCTAGAACTGCAACACTAGCCATTGCCACTGTGAAGTTCCGAGTTCTCGGAATTGTTGCTCTACACACATATACCCCTGCATGTTGTACCTTCACATCGGCTATAACAAGGTTTCCATTCCCCAGCACTCTTGTGTTGAAGACATCAATGGGTTTTTGATCTAGGATAGAAACTGGTTTGAAATGTTCTGCCTTCTTAACAACTGGAAAGACTGTAGTACCTAGAATGACTATTATAAACATTGTACCATTCCATCATCAATAAGTAATCTACTGCTTTGGAAAAATAAGCTCTTACCCAGCCTGCTCCAGGACACTATAGGTTTTGGGTTTCCTGTAGCCATACACTCCAGTGTAACAGTTTGGTGCAGAGAGGCTGTTGTGTTCTGAGGAGGTGCTATGATTACCGGTGTCTTTAAAGGCTGCATTGGTGTGGCTAGTTCTGAAAAAGTGAGGTAATCATTTCAGGACAGAACTGTTAAATGAACTGCAAAATGTAAACCTCTTTACAAAGCTCTTAACATATTAATATATATACTATAAATAGAACATTTCTATGCATTAGTCATTTCTAAAACTATGGGCTCAACTAGATGATTTCACAATATGAGAATATCAAGCAGCAAATCCAGAATACAGACTATCAATGAGTCAATTAAGAAAAAGGATGTACAATCCAAAATAGGGAAACAAACCTGGTACTACAGTCAGAGTTGCTTCAGCACTCTTTCGTCGGTTTGATATAGAGGTAGCTACACATCTGTAATTTCCAACATCCTTCTTTGTTACACCATAGATCTGAAGAATTCCTTTCGATAACACAGTAATCCTTTAAATAAGCAAACATATAAAAATGAATGAAGTATGTATATTTAAGACAAATAGACCCATATAAATGACATATTACTTGATTTACTTTTTGTGGTTTCAGCCAAGCGCCCCACCATCAGATTTAGATCAGAGTAACACTAGAGTACTACAAAAATAACTTTTGCTTTATTCCAAATTGGTTGTTATTTAAAATTGTGCACTTACCTGTCCATGGCAAGAGGAAGAGCAGTGCGATTTACTTCCCACGTAATAATAAGAGCTGGAGGATTGGCAGTTATCTTACAGGCGAACCGAGCGACTCCTCCTTCTTGAACCTGTATTGAAACTGGTTGCTCTTCAAAGGCAGACATAGCTGAAATAGGAAAATACAACTCGGTTACTATGCACTTTCTGGAGCACAGAACACAAAATTAGCTCATAATACTTCATGATGGAACGCCCTCAACCTGTACACAACTGGCTAGTGAAGCCATTCTCATCCAGGGCTCTTTGGAACACTAGAGTTTCTCCAAAGGTTGCTAGGGGTTTCTTGAGCTGTGGCTGACTGACCTTCCATTTGATAGTGTCTGCATAGTTTTGGGGCCAGCACAATTGACAGAGCCAGCAGCATGTCACCAATTACTTTTTTTAGCTATCTGTAATGGTGGCATTCCAACCACTGCTGTAAAGGGGAAACATTCCCACTGCCCACCAAGGTAAAGTGCATTTTTTTCTCCTGACCCCTGATGAATATGTTTCAGCAGAGGTTGCCCCATATCTAAATACTATTTTCAAAAGAAAAGCTGTGATTGGGGCTAGGGACAGCAGAGAAAAAAACCCTAAAAAATGGCATAGCAGGCTAATTTTACTTGTGATTTTAAATATTCATGAGCCAACACTACAAAAAGCTTTCATTTATAGGAATCATATCATTAGTAATACCTCATCTGGAATATGCAGTTCAGTTTTGGGCACCAATTCACAAAAAGAACATTGGGGAACTGGAGAAAGTACAGAGAAGGGGAACCAAACTGATAAGAGGCATGGAGGAGCTCAGCTATGAGGGAAGATTAGAGGAACTGAATGTATTCTCTCTTGAGAAGAGGAGATTAAGGGGGGATATGATCAACATGTATAAATACATCAGTGGTTCATATAGTGAACTCGGTGTAGAGCTATTCACCCTGAGGTCATCACAGAGGACAAGGGGGCACTCTTTACGTCTGGAGGAAAAGAAATTTAATCTTTAAACATGGAAAGGTTTCTTCACAGTGAGAGCTGTGAAAATGTGGAATAGACTCCCTCAAGATTTGGTTCTCGCCAGCTCAGTGGATTACTTTAAAAAGTCCTGGATTCTTTCTTAGATACACAGAATATAACTGGATACTAACATTTATAGGTAAAGTTGATCCGTGGAATATCTGATTGCCTCTCGGGGGATCAGGAAATAATTTTTTTCCCTGCAGGAGCAAATTGGAGCATGCTTTGCTGGGTTTTTTTTGCCTTCCTCTGGATCAACTGTGGGTATAGGAATATAACTTTTTTTTTTTTTTTTAATGGTTGAACTGGATGGACTTTTGTCTTTTTTCAGCCAGACTAACTATGTTACTATGTAACTATATCATTAATGTTATTTATAGGCCACGACCCAAAGAATTCTACATTGCATAAATAAAACAAATGGACAATCCTAAGGATGACATAAATTAAATACAATATCTGGCCAATATGCAGATACAATATCTCAAAGATTGTTCTCTTTTCCTGGGCACTGAATTTTCAAGGTGTGCTTCCATTTGACATACAACAGAAACAGCCTTTAAGTGGAATCCATAATTTCTTGCCTTTTTTATGCAACCTCCAATCCTAAAAGTTATACCAACACACCCTTTTGGGTGTGAAAAATATAATAATGCCAAAATCAGATTAATGTAAGCACTTTATTTTAAGATTCAAGTCTAAAGCTAATGCTTAAACAGTAAACTTAAGTCCAATGTAAATATACTGCAATGGCCTACAGTAACTATGAGAAATTAGTAATAACAATGCAGCAAGAGATTTCATACAAATCCATCCTTTCACTGATCCCATGTATTATGCATAGTCTCCTGTATGTTTAAAATGTGCCTGCAAGCAATTCATATGGTAATCACCATGTGTCTTTTATGCCTACTATTTGAACACAGCATATCAGATAATAACAGGCTGATAATTACTGCATCATGATTAGTACACAGTGATACAGTAAAAATGGGTAATATTGTGGCATTTCTTTTCAAAATTAGTGTCTTTCTTCTGTCTTTTTGTTTTGCTGTTGGTGGGCTTATTGTTCTTTGCCAAAATATAATTTCTATAGTAATCCAGTCTTTTGTGAAGCACAATCTGTTATTACACTTTCTGCATCCATGTAAATGTCAATTTAAACCCAAACTATAAAAGCAATGCTATGATGGGTCAAGTAAACCATAAAACTGAACCTACATCAAAGCTGCATACAGGGTAATGTTGTTCATGAAAACAATCCCCCTCACAACACTGTAAATGTAATTGCCTTTTTATTAGGCGTTTAACCCTTATTTTTATTGTGTTGGTAGTTCTCGAGTTTACAACCTGGAGAAAACAACACTAGCTATTGTGTCAAATGTCCCACCCCAAGGCTTCTAAAACTACGTTCATACCACCTGTGCTTCCTACATCCATTACAAAAACACACAGTACAGTCACAACCACAGGAGAAAATGTGCAAGAAAGCTTTCCTTGGAGAAACCAGTAACAATGTCTGGATTTGGTGTGTTCTGCTACATTACACCTAGTCAATGATATCTGGCCTCTCAAATAAAACTTGCTGAGAAGAATAAAAAGTGGAGCAGTAGCCTATAGCAGTCAGATTGTAATCTGAAAGCACAAAAACAATCTTATCTGCCTTCCAAGTTGTCTTCTGTAAACTAAAGTTGACCATACTGAACCAAATAGAAAGTATGTGAGACACTCAGGCTTAAAAAAGTACTAGTCCTCTGATCCCCATGATTAATCTCTGAGTGAAACGCAATGGGAACATGGCCAGGTTGGAGCCCGGGCTGAGTTGCCACATACCACATTACAGTAGGATTGTTCCGAGGTGCAGCTCAAGGGACACTCATCTCATCTTACAATAAAGTTGACCATAGATGGATCAAAATTTGGCTGGTTCAGCAGGGACTTACCAAATATAGATCCATCTATGGCTGTTCCTGTTCGAGAGGAGTTGATCTAATTATCGTCTCCTTTGCAAAAGGAATATTGGAAAACCTTTGTCCAATCAGCTCCAATAGCTGCAGCACTGATCGGTGTATTCCAGCAGAGGAGAACTTACACTGTCAGAATACAATAGCGCAGCGGGGAGCATTCCCCCACCCACCTTGACTGTGCGGATGGGGGAATCCATTTGTTTTTTGATCAAACCGCTGTTTGATATATGGTCAGTCTAATTCCCCTAAGATTTAAGTCGGCCACAGATATCACAATATGCTTTCCTGCAACCATCACTCCATTCCTACATCAGCACTGGCTGAATGTTTGCCGTCCCTGCTAGGAGAATGCAGTGATTATTGCTAGCAGCTATAGCCGCTGGCAATGATCGCATGATAACTCCATCAGGCTGGTTGTACCTAAGTCGTACACCAATCAAATCAGCAATCAGCCTGCCAATAGATGGTTGAGCAGGAACATTTGAACCATCTGTGGCCAGCTTTAACATGGTCTAGGGCACCCTTTCTCAACCAGGGTGCCCAGGCACTTTGGGGTGCCTTGAGGTTTCTTCAGGGGTGCCTTGGCAAAATGTCTAAAAATTGCCCAAAACTTGTATACAAGCCAGTTGGTGGATCAAGCCTGCCTCTAGTTACACAAAACCACAGGTTTCCATTGTGCATCATAACGACCCTTCTAGCTGCCTGAGTCCTGACAACCAGTGACATCATCAGATGATAAAAAGGATGTCAGCTGCCTGCACAACATCCAAGTTTGGCGCTCCCCCACCCCTCTCCATCAGTGCTGGGGTCACATTAGCTCAATGAGGGAGAAAAACTGAGGGAAAAGAGAAACACTGGAATAGTAGTCAGTACCAGTGTGCAAAAGTGTATTTGCTTTGGAAGAATAAATCACTTCTAATGTTGGGTATCCTACATGTGTGGTCGTTGCTGCATATATAAAACTATTAGAATAGGTTTTTCACATTGCAGAATGGGGTGCCCTGTTAAAATTATGGATAGTGTTGAGGCACCCCATTTTAGAATGGGGTGCCTCAAGACTGTCTATAATTTTAAAGGGTGCCTCGGGGCTGTCCATAATTATAAAGGGTGCCCTGACTGAAAAAAAGGTTGAGAAACACTGGTCTAGGGCAGGGGCGGACTGACCATTTGGAAACTCGGGCACTGCCGAGGGCCCGGGGTCAGTAGGGGGCCCCATGAGATGCCCCTGGTACCTTTTTCATAGGCTTTTTTGAGTTTGGGCAAGGACACAGGGGCCCCATGATCCCCTATTGCCTGGGGGCCCCATGAGTTGTCAGTCCAACCCTGGTCTAGGGTACCATCCACAGCTCCCTCCATAAATACAGAGACAGAAAGTGTGTGATTCACAGGACTGGTAGATGAAATTATAGAAAAAAAGCTTGGAAGAAAAAGAAATGTAATAAAGCCACCACATCTAAGTGCTGGTAAGCTGCATTACATTACATTTTGGTTTTTGAATTCAGATTCACTTGAAGCACTTCAGCATGCTCAACACTTTCAATAATAACGAGCACTGTAGATGTGTGCATTTGTTTGCATATAACTCCAGCTGCTTCTCTACTGATCAGATGCCTATTCACTGACTGGCATGCCATGTCAATTTCACAATGGCTAATGTCTGATTATGCATTTTCATCATAGTCTCAGTTTGACTTGTCTTGGTTTATGGTAAATTTAATTTAAAGCAGATGTACTGTAAATTACAAAACATGTCTTTGGATGCACATGCTGCTATTTACAAAACAGCATCTAGACTCTGCAAATCTGCCCGCACAGCCAATCAGTGCCTAGGCATCACACTGAGCCTAAGTAAAGATGCAACAGTATAAGAAGACCAGGAGTATTACAGAAGAGAGTATGAAGTGGCTCTGTGGCTTACGTATGTATTTGCAAATGTGTGCTAACTAAACCCCTGTTTTTAACACATACTGTTAGACAGGATCATTCGGTTGTTGGCAATCTGGCTTGCAAGTTGACCAGGAACTTTTTTTTCTTCTTTTTTTCTTTTGACATGCGTTGCCTATTCATGTGTCCTTGCTGAAAAAGTCAGTTATAGACTGGGGCAGTGGCCATTTTTTGCACTGTTGAATTGTTGGTGAGGGGGT